GGAAGATACTAGATTCATTGTTGTTGCCGCAGGGATAGTTTCATAGGCGTCTTCATACGTGTCCTCCTTGTCGTTTTCTTCCTTCCATAAAGGAAATGATGTAATGACATCTTTCTTAGAATTTTCTCTTTTACTTAGAATACGTGACATATTCGCTTCCTCACTCTAGAGATGGGAAATATTTGGCTGCGGTGCTGTAGCTCCTGTTCTCCTGATTGCGTCACTTCTTCTACAACCTGACGTGTTGGTGTTACAATGGAGGCAAACAAACTTAAGAACTGTAGGTGTAGCATTAAAATATTCTCATCTAGGTCAGACAAACGGGGGAAAAAGATATTATTTACCTCGAAAATGTATTTCTGAAAAATTCAAATCATTTGAAATGTACTAAAAAAAAACAACAACAAACATGTTATTTTAACAACATTGTGAAGTAAATCCTTTGTAAACAGATGAGTTATTTTTTAATATATTTTTATTGATTTCATAAAGGGAGGGAGAGGGAGAGATAGAAACATCAATGATGAGAGAAAATCATTGATTGGCTGCCTCCTGGCACACCCCACACTGGAGAGTGAGCATGCAACTGAGGCATGTGCCCTGACAGGGAATCAAACCGTGACCTCCTGGTTCATAGGCTGATGCTCAACCACTAAGCCACGCAGGCCGGGCTAGCCCTCTTGTTAAGACACCAAGGTGACCAGGTTCCTTTCATTAATATTCTTTCTTTAGAATATTAATGATTAGTTGAAGGCTTGATGGTTTTACAGTTTCCCACTTTTTAATGCAATCAGGCATTCCTCAGAAAGCCTCACTCTTCCTCGATTTTTATAAAATCACCCATTTTGGTAATATTTGGTAATATCTGCATCACATTTTCCTTCTTCCTAGTCTCACTCTTTGACATTGGACAAAGCACTGGCTTTCTTTAACTGCACTTGCCCCTCCCCACCCCACACATCAGTACTGATTATGGTCCAGTACTTGGCTAATGAGACGTTAATTTCTTTATACATTATGAAAAAATTATAAATATGCCTCTAATAATTTTTCCTTCCCAGAACTCTTAACAACATTCTAGAAGAAACAGAAGATTAGGAAATGCTGGAAAAGAAAAAAAAAAGTTGTAGCTGAACATAGCTTGACCTACAGTATGTCCATATTCAGCACATACATAAATACATATTAAAAGACTAGTGTTTGTAACTACAGACTATTTCATTAGATTAAAAATCGATACATGTGCAAAAGGCCTAAACTATATTTTCCTGTTTTAAGGTTTTCACATCCAAGCTAAAAATGCTGACAATGACTTAAAAGTGAAACTAAAATGGAGAAGAAAACAAAATAAAAAATGAACTTTTTCTTTAATGCTCCCCTGAAAATACTGATCTAGGAAATGCAAATAAATTTTGAAAACTGCTGTAAAAGGATTAAGAAATCCCGACCCCTCCAAAGCTAATATTATCAATGTTTAACAACAGTAATGTGTTAAGAGCTACTTAATATTTCATATTAAAAATATTAGAATATTTGTTGAATAGCTTTCACATTCAAATTGAATCTGGGAATGTGATTTTAATTAACACAGAATCCTAGAGGCAAAAATGTAGGTGAAACTGATTTCAAAAGAATCAGCAGGAATAGAAGTACTCTTTACAATAAAATCTCCCTGATTTAGATTGACATTTAGTGAAAAGAACTGGTTACATGTTCTTAGAAAAAGAGTGTTTAGTATAAAAATGTACAGAAATAGTGTACAGTACTATATTTATTTTTTAAAATGTATGTTATTGATTTTAGGGAGAGGAGAGAGAGAGAGAGAGAGAGAGAGAGAGAGAGAGAACGAGAACTCAATGTGAGAGATCAGCTGCCTCCCACATGCACCCCAGGGATGGAGCCTACAACCTGGGCATGTGCCCTGACCTGGAATCCAACCAGCGACCCTTCGGTGCACAGGATGGCTCCCAATCAACTGAGCCACACCGGCCAGTACTATTATGTTTTTCATGGCAACTGTGTTAGCAAAGCCCAGACTAGAATTGGCCCTCTTGTAACAGAGGTAAATAATATGTAATTGGCTTATCAAAGTGCCTATCTCTGAGAGAGGCAGGCAAGCCAGTCAGGGGTTACCCCTTTTTCTTTAATGTGCTTGAAAGCAGTTTGCTATAAGTTAGAAAATTGCTTCTTTTCATATTGGTAGCATTATTATTTGCTTAGAAATTCTCTTTTATACAGTAGACTTTGTATTCAGAGCCAAAAAATATTTATTGAGGCCTATTAGGAGCTATACAACATAATAAGTATCATCTTTTCCATCCAAGTACTAACCAGACCTAACCCTGCTTAACTCCTCAGATCAAACCAGATCTCAGGCAGAGTGGTATGGCCAGTGACTATTAAGTACTCTCTTTCCGTAAGTTATCTATGTTTTGTCCAACAGCAATTTTAATAAATTCTTAATAGGAGGAAGTTGAATTAGTGAGGCTTTATAAAATTGATACTGTATTCTATCTTCCAGGGAGTATGTAAAAATGTCTTTATCATTTAATCCTTTGAGAAGAACCCTGACAAGTAGTTGACAACAAAGATTAATAAGGTTAATAGGGAACAAATATAACATACTACATAGAACTGATAAGGGCTCAGAGGGAATGGTGGGGCACCCGTAATGCTCATAGATATTATTAATCAAGTCTGTTCTGTCTCGACCCAAGATAGTGGACCCTGACCTGGTTGCTGTGTCTGGACGCTGACCCCCTCTGGGAGTTTGCCTCAGGAATGCTGTCTATTCTCCAATTCTGGAAATGGGCTAAGCTGTTTTTTGTTTTTGTTCTTTTTTTAAAATATGTTTTTATTTATCTTGTTTTTACTTATTTCAAAGAGGAAAGGAGAGGGAGAGAGAGATAGAAACATAAATGATGAGAGAATCATTGATCAGCTGCCTCCTGCATGCCCCCTACTGGGGGTTGAGCCCACAACCCCGGGCATGTGCCCCTGACGGAATAGAACCTGGGACCCTTCAGTCCGCAGGCTGATTCTCTATCCATTGAGCTAAACCAGCTAGGGCTAAGCTGGTTTGACATCGTAAAAAGATTAACTACCCTGTTATTGACACTAAGGTACTGGAAGCAGACACACTGATCACATATCCTGCTATACTGTCCCCACTGTACCTCGATTTTCTTTCTTACCCCTATATAAGCAGCCAACTGGCAGGAGATGTTAGAGAGGTTTTTCAAGGTACCAAGCACACTGCTCTCTCCTATTGCTGGTAATTCAAATAAACACTCATAAAAAATTCAACCTTGTCTCTGCTTATTGGCTTAGTGGCAAGAGGCAGTAATGGACCCGATGTGTCTGGTACCAGAACTTCTATTTTCTTGCTAGAATCCCTGAGACAGACTAATTTTTTCCATAATTTGATAAATCTGAAAAAATATGTATAAATTCATGGCATTACCTGGAGAAAACCCATATTTTATTCACCTAAATAAAGGCTTATTCAACTAAGCCTCTCTCCTATACTCTGTATCCAACATCTATATACACCAAGGGAAGATACAGCCGATTTTTTTTTGAAAAAAGAAGTACAAATACTTAAGGAATTGCTCTTTTATGTGGAACATTTCCAACTTGTGTATCCCAAGTATTTATGGTGCAATGTCTTTTTTTGGTGGATGGTAAAAAAAAAAAAAAAGTTAAATCTGTATTTGTAGAGTTGGTGTCTGGCAAATGCAATGTGTAAAATCAAAAGTGGATTTTAGGCGATTCTAACGAAATGAAACGGTTTCCATTTATTTGCTATATAGAGTGGCTAAGCAGCAAGAGGCTGCAACTGAAAGGCTTGCCCTGGGTGTGGTGCAGTTGATTAAGCATCCTCCCATGCACCAGGAGGTCACCAGTTCGATTCCCATCCCCCCGTTGCAGGAACAATCCCCAATAGGGGGCTTGCATTAGGTAGCCCATGGATGTTTCTCTCTCTCATTGATGTTTCTATCCCTCTCTCTCCCTTCCTCTCTCTGAAATCAATAAAAACATCTTTCATCTTTTTAAAAGTCCTTAGGAACTGAGTCTTTAGTGGATGTGTTACTATGATACAACACAAAAAAGAACTAGAGGGGAAGCACAGATCAATTGTACTTCAAATGCAAATAACTTCAGAATTAGCCACTAGCCTGAACATAACTGGCAGCTTTAAGGATTTAGGGTTTTGCCCCCACCAGTGTGGCTCAGTGGTTGAGTGTTGACCTATGAACCAGAAGGGTCACGTTTGGATTCCCCTTCAGAGCGCATGCGAGGGTTGAGGGCTCCTTCCCCAGTAGGGGGCGTGCAGGAAGCAACCAATCAATGATTCTCACCATTGGTGTTTCTCTCTCTCCCTTCCTCCCTGAAATCAATAAAAATATCTCCCCCCCAAAAAAAAGGATTTAGGGTTTTGTCACAATTTTATTATAACAACAACAAAAGAGGTAACTCTATTCCTTTGTCCCCGAGACCCCAAGAAGTCAGAACGTGTTGGTGAAAATTGGTAGCTGGTTCTTAAGGGATTTTTGGGTGGGTGCAGGGCGGAATGTCCCTAGGGGCTTCACCCCTTTTGAGGCCTATAATGTAGGGACCACTACTCAGAACAGCGGGTTCATGGCGTTCTCACCCTGGCCAAACTCCCGATTACCTCTGATGAGCCCCAGAGATCACCGAGTATTAGCCTAGGCCAGGTCCCGCAGCAGAACGGCGGCGGCGGCTGCAACATCAGCCGTTACAGCCTTTCAGAGGCCGGTCTAATGCACCTGTAGCAACATTACTAGAGCTGAGGGTCCCTAAAAATGGGGAAAATAGGAGGGGGAAGGGGGAAGGGAAGGGGGGAAAATGAGGAGGGTACAGGAAAGGGGGGAAGGATGGGGCGGGACACCGCCGGGAAGGCCAAGGGTTTACTGGCGGGATTCTGACGTTCCCATGGAAACGTATCCCTCCGCTTGTGATTGGTCCTTTACGCTCTTCAGTCCCCGCCCCCACGCCGCTGCTCCGCTGTTTCCGCCCAGCTCCTTTGTGCCGCGCAGAACGCCGAGATGACGCATGCGCAGAGAGACCCAGCCGCCGCATATATAAACCGGAACCCAGGCTCTTCCTCGTAGTGCCGCTGGGACCGTTGGTGTGCGAGGGCTTTGCAGCTTCTGGCGTCACTCGGATCCTGGGCTCTGCGAGCTGAACGAGCCGAGCTCGCGGGCCAGTCATCATGTCGCGCTACGGGCGGTACGGAGGAGGTAAGAGGGTAGGGCCCCGTGAGGGACGCGATCGTGGGCGCTGCGAGTCGTGCGAGGCCGTGGGGTTGGCGCGGCGGTTGGGAGACGGTTATTCCGCGTGCGTAATGGCGGCTTGGGCGCACACCGTACGAAGCCGGAGGCGGAGGGGGCGGGATGTTGAGGGGAGACGGGGAGGGCGGGTGTCGGCCTGGGTCAAGTTCCAGGTTAATTCTCGGGCACTTTCCGTCTCGCGCCCCGGCCCTAGCGGTAGCAGGGCGCCCGGCCCCTGCTTGGCTGTTGCCCTTCGAGCCGCCGGCCGTCCCCCACACCCCCCCGCCCTCGGCTGCCATTTTGCGCACAATCACGAGCGTGCACGGTGGCGCATTTCCCGGCCGCTTTCCCGCCACTTTAGCGGAGAGTCTGGTCGCAGCCGTGAGATCACGGGCGAATTCGAGCCTGAACACAACCGGCGGCTCCGAGCCGCGGAGCGGGTGTGAGGACGCGCTCCTTCCGCCCGGCGGCTGGCTGGTCTCTCTCGTGGCTCTTTCGGGCGCGGTTTATGGCCGGGGCGGGGAGCCGGAGTCTCGCGGAGGACGGGAGCCCGCGCAGCCCTGCTCCCCGGGTCCGGGCCCCGGCGGGGCCCGCCCGCCGCCCGCCGCCGGGGTCCGCGCGCTCCCAGCCCCGAGACTGCCGGGACTCGGGGGCGGGACCGGGGGCGGGACCCCCTCGCGCTCGGAATATCCTGCGGCTCTTCTGCTCCCGTGTTTTCGAAGCGTTTTCCCACCATATTGGAACGTGAAGAACTTTGTCCTGCGCCCAGCTCTTCAGAAATGTGCCGACTTGCCTGGCCTTAAGACCACGTTCAGTTCTTGATGAGAGCACAAGATAATGTTTTGCACGGGCTTAAGGGTGTGCAGAGAATTCATTCAAACGTGGGTCAATTTTTTGCATAACTCGCGTTCTTCCGTTTGCATTTTTAAACAGAAACCAAGGTGTATGTTGGTAACCTGGGAACTGGTGCTGGCAAAGGAGAGTTAGAAAGGGCTTTCAGTTACTATGGCCCCTTAAGAACTGTGTGGATTGCAAGAAATCCTCCGGGATTTGCCTTTGTGGAATTTGAAGACCCTAGAGATGCAGAAGATGCAGTTCGAGGCCTGGATGGCAAGTAAGTACGATGCCAGTTACGAAACAGGTTCACGAGGATAGTCTGCTAGGCTGGGGAATGAGGGGGGTGCTAAGCTTGGGTTCTGTCTAGAGCAGCGGTTCTCAACCTGTGGGTCGCGACCCTCTCACGGGGGTCGCCTAAGACCATCAGAAAACATATAATTACATATTTTTGTGATTAATCACTATGCTTTAATTATGTTCAATGTGTAACAATGAAATTGGGGGTCACCACAACATGAGGAACTGTATTAAAGGGTGGCGGCATTAGGAAGGTTGAGAACCACTGGTCTAGAGGAAAATGTAAATAGCTAATCTTTTTTTTTTTTTAATATATTTTATTGATTTTTTTACAGAGAGGAAGGGAGAGGGATAGAGAGTCAGAAACATCGATGAGAGAGAAACATCGATCAGCTGCCTCCTGCACACTCCCTACTGGGTATGTGCCCTTGACCGGAATCGAACCTGGGACCTTTCAGTCTGCAGGCTCTGTCCACTGAACCAAACCGGTTAGGCATAGCTAATCGTTTTATTGGCTTAAGAAAGGGAGTAGAGGTGGCCTTCCAAGGGCTACAAAGATAGCTGAAGTCTGTGAAAGCAGAGGGTTGGAAAGTTCCAGATCCAGAGGTCGTATGTATTTTTTTTTTAGCATTAGAATTTTGTTGCTTCTCTTTTACAGGGTGATTTGTGGTTCCCGAGTGAGGGTTGAACTATCAACAGGCATGCCTCGGAGATCTCGTTTGGATAGACCCCCTGCCCGACGTCCCTTTGATCCAAATGATAGATGCTATGAGTGTGGTGAAAAGGGACATTATGCTTATGATTGTCATCGCTATAGCCGACGAAGAAGAAGCAGGTATTTATTTTAAAGGAATGGTTGGTGTACTGGTTAATCAAGTAATTCTTTTATTAGCAAGGCAGAAACTAATATTTTTATATAAATTTGAATGTTAATTGTACAGGTGTATTTTTACAATTTTTGTTTAATTAAACAAATGTTAATATATTAATAATCAACCTGGTCAAAACCTTTCAGGTTTCTTCGTTTGAGTCAGTCGCCTTGATTCAGAATGTCACGAGCCTTATGATATGCTGAGGCGCCTTGCAAATCCGACAATTAAGATCCTCCTAGACCTTGAGGTGATCAGCATAAGAGGCCAGATCCCCTCGAGTCATCTACACCTAGCTTCACCTTATTCTTTAAAGGGCAGAAAATTTGAGTCGGTGATCGCCGTAACAGTAAATTTGGCTTACAATTGGGGCCCCCTCCGGTTTAGAAAGAGGAACACCAGATTGACCACATTTCCAACTAGAAAAATCTTCTTGCGTCAATCAAGCCTCACCTGGCTCATTTGGCTGTCAGTTTGATCGTCGTTAGATTGAAGAAAACATCTAGATGCAGCGATCGGCTATAGATACTTCTAGATCGTCTAGATCTACTAGACCATGGGCCAAAGAGGGTCGACCTGCAAACTTGCAAGGTTTATTTTAAATACACATTACAGTGTTTTATATTATGTAATTCTAAGATGTAATTCAGCTTTTAACAAATCTCTTTTTAGGTAGTTTAAAAAAAAAAACTGGACAACTAATAGGCCCAGAATTTATTTCCAAATGAGATAGTAAATTTAAATAGTTTTGAGACTTGATTTCAGCAGAGGGACAGACACTATAAATACGAGTTGCCATCTAACATTTTGTTACTTTCCCAACTTGAAAAATAGGTCACGGTCTAGATCACATTCGAGATCCAGAGGTAGACGATATTCTCGCTCACGGAGCAGGAGCAGGGGAAGGAGGTGAGAGATCTTTAATGCAAGTTTTAACAAGCAATAAAAAACTTAAATTGGAGATGGACCTAAACCTCTTTGATTTAATTTTTAGGTCAAGATCAGCATCTCCTCGACGATCAAGATCTGTATCTCTTCGTAGATCACGATCCGCTTCACTCAGACGATCTAGATCTGGTTCTATAAAAGGATCGAGGTATTTCCAGTATGTACCACTTTTTCCCCCTGCTTATTTATATTTGGGTTGTCACGTCTTAATGACAAAAGTAGAGTGACTTAAGGACATAATTTGGCATGATGGGGTGAATTTGAGACCTTAGAAAGTTGTTAGGGAAATCGTGTACATATGGGTAAACATGGCTTGTTTAGCCATTTACTTTCTCTTGGATACTTACCTAACAATCTAGCTCATTGGGTATGGTAGAAGCAAATAATTAAAATGGTAGTTCCTTATTTATTTGATATTAGATCTTGTTGAAAATGGGGCAACTTGTTGAATCTTAGACTGATAGAAGGCAAGAGTGGCATCTTGCTCAGTTTTAGCTTCTATTCCGAGCCTGCCTAATAAGATGCTCAGAAGGTGTTTAAGGAAATTACTAGTGTGGACTAATTGGTATAATTTTTGTTTTTAAGATCACGGTCAAGGTCAAGATCAAGATCCAGGTCTATTTCACGACCAAGAAGCAGGTAAGGGTGAAAAGCTGAACAATGCTCTTGTAGTTATATGGCACCAATATCCAAAGAGTTCAAAGTGTTTTGAATTGTTGAGACTTCAAGTGTTAACTCTAAGCCTAGGTGTTGAGTGGGAACACGGTACCTTGTTAATGAACTAAACTTTAGAACTTCATTTGTACATGGCCTCTTCTGGATGATTTCCTGGACAAGGGAATGTCAAGGTATAGTGAGAAAGCAGTTTGTAACTTTGCGTGTTAAGAGGCCCTTGTTAGAACTAATAGGTGCATGGAGAAGTATTCTGAGATAGGTGAACTTTAGGCAGATGAATCATGATAAAAGCAGTTCGTTTTATGAAGGCTAGTTGGAAGATGGGCTATTGTTAGCAAAAGCTGATGGCCATTTTTTTCCCCAGTTTAATTGCAGCCTGACATTTTAGTTTCAGGACAATTTGGGGGTTCATTTCATGATAGTGTGACTGTAAGGAAGGGATTGGTTAGTACTTTTTCTTAATAGAATTTCTCATGTTTTGACAGCCGATCAAAGTCCAGATCTCCATCTCCAAAAAGAAGGTAAGCTAAATAATTTGTTGCCAAATTTTAACTGTCAAATGTGGCCTCTGCAGGATTTGTTTGCTTCCTGCCTACTTTGCAGGCTTTGATTTTGAGCTCTTTGGAGAATTGGTGCTATATATATAAATACTAAGTTTCTTAAAGGATTGCTTTTCCTGCTTCATTATCACCTTATACTTTTATTGGAAATATTTAGTCATAAAATATTAGAATGACAAGATGTGTTTAGTCCTGTGAACCCTTAATTGTATAATTTCATGTTAAGACACATGCTTTCCCCACACATAGGTAAAAAGGAAATGAAGAAAAATTTGTAGGTTGAAATCCTGAAGCTAAACTATTATCTGTCTAGTTGCTACTTAATTACCCTCCCAAAGAAAAAACCCCAACGTTCAAATAGTTCTCTTTAACTTAACTTTGCAATTTTAGCAAGGATGCTAATCTTAAGCAGGGACAAAGGATTTGTATATAAATCTTTTTCAGAAAGAGGGAGTGTGATAGAAACATCAATGAGAGAGAGAAATCTGTCAGCTGCTTCCTGCATGCCCCTTACTGGGGATCAAACCTGCAACCTGGGCATGTCCCCTGACAGGGAATGGAACCATGACTTCCTAGTTCATGGGTTGCCACTCAACCACTGAGTCACACTGGCCAGGCTATTTATGAATTTTTAGATCTCTGCTATAGAAACGTAGTTCCTTTGGCCACCTTTGAATTTATTGAAACATGTTCGTAGGAAGAGTATGTTTCAGTAGACACTAATGGGTTCCAAACCTAATGTTTTTCTTTTTAGTCGTTCCCCATCGGGAAGTCCAAGAAGAAGTGCAAGTCCTGAAAGAGTGGACTGAAGTTCTCAAGTTCACCTTTTAGGGAAAAGTTATTTTGTTTACATTATTATAAGGGATTTGTGATGTTTGTAAAAAGTAACCTAGGAAGGTTATTTCGACCATCTAATCAAAATGGATCTGGATTATTACTCTGTAAATTCACAGCAGTAAGATAATATAAATTTTTGTTGAATGTATTAACATCTTATGGTTTGCAAATGTGAGTTTTTATTTGGCACATTTAAATAAAATGTTTCTAACTAGATTTTTGATCTGTGTTCAATATTAATACTTGGTAAGCTTCAGTAGTCAACCTTGATGTCAACCATATAAGTACAGACCTACATTCAAAGTTTAATGGTGTGAAGTCTTCAACATCATTAACTAGTATCTATACACTTGGAAAATTCCCTTTTACCTATAGAGGTTTGGGTAATATAACTCAAATCCTCCTTAATAGCATGAGTGCATCATGACAAGTCCCTGAATTAATCGGAGTTACATATTATCAGGCTAATGATATCAATCTGTCAAGCTAGAGAAACCACTGATTTGCCTATAAATAAGCGTGACAACTAAACCAAGAGCTTATTAAAGAAGTAATTGGACTCAGTGCTTGAACTGAATTATTTTTCAGCTCTAAGTACAGTGACAGGTTTTCAGGCTGTTTGATGGGATGTCAATCAGAACTCAATTTTAGGAAGTTCTCAGTGTTACTTGAGACAATTTTATAACATTTTTGCATGTTTGAGGAATTGTCTAAATCTGGGACAAAATATCTTCATGTAAACCAGCTTTGCAAAATTTTCCAGACACTCTTCTCTATCCTTTCAAATGGATTGCCTTATTTTGAGCAGAGATCTGTTAATTCTAAGGTAGATGTTTTTCAATTCCCAACCACCAACATAACTATCTTATTTTGCCAGGCTGGTACAAAGTGATTAAGGATGTCAAGCAGAAATGTTCATGAGACAGTTTTGTAAATCTCACCTATATTTAGCAGTACCTTATGTAGTTTTGTGGTAGCATCAGGTAGACCTGAGACTATTCTAGCCAGTAGATGATTTAGACTAAATGTCTTTTGTAGGGCAGTAATCATTATTTGAGTTTCCTGGTCAAGCTTTTCCCAGGTATTCTCTAGTCTTGGTGCAAAAAAAAAAAAAATGTGCAAAAACAATGATTAATGCTGGTGGCACAGGTGTCTGCCCTTGTCCATTTCTTTATGTTTAACAAAGTTACTGGATAGCATTGCAATGTGGGAATACTGCTCTGCCTCAAATTATTTGGTCTGAATGATCACTAGTATGTTGGGAGTTTGGGTACTTTGTTTTTGGAATTTTGAAAACTGGCTGAATTATGGTTGGTAAAAACTGTAATTGGCAGGCTTATTTGTTGCACTTGGTCGGCTTTAATTGTTCTGTATTATATAAAGATAAGTTACTAAAAAATAAATCTGCAGAAAACAAATAATCATACTCAATTTTTGGAAGTGGGAGTTCTGAGCCAAGAATAGGAATCATTTCTGTAGCTTTGGGACGGATTATTAGCACTGTCCAAGATATTAGAATGAGGATAAAAGATAGTGTAGGAGGGGTAGGGGCAAAGGTGGTTTTAAGAGACAAGCACAGAAAGTTCCATTCTTAGGGGAAAGGGAAACATGGTTATTATCTAGGTGAACACCTTTCGTACCATTGACTATATACATTTGCCTGGATGTTACAGAATTTATGCAGGGGTACAACTCAGTACCCTTGTATTTAGAATACATCTTAAAGTGTTACACTTTGGTGTAGTGCACTTTTCTACTTTTAGAGGTTAGGACTACTAAATAGATTATGTGACTGACTTGAAGTCTCATTCAGACTCGGTCAATCTAAATTTAAAGCCTGGCTCTAATTATTAGGTAATAACACGCCAGACATTCTTTGGGCCAAGTACCTTATCTGGTCTGCTCACCCATGTGTAGAGAGGTAAGTAATGCACTTCACAGTGGTAGTTCCCCTTGGGCTTTGAGCTAGGCCAAGTATCAAGTGAAAGTGTGGTCCTACATCTTGCAGTGTCCCATCTGAGTACAAATTTGAGGGTCTAGAAATGCTATCATTTTGAGACTTGGTTAAGTAGTGGTGTAGGATTGTGATTGTCATCTTTTGTAGCTTGTCTTGAAGTCTAAAGGAGCACTGATTTCCAAGATTCATTAAACTAGTAGGAGTAGGAAGCTAAAACTGATAAATTGGCAGTTATATGAATGAAGAATAATAGCAAAGAATTCATTAGATCTGGCTTAGTGAGCAATTGCTGCTTAGGTACCTTTGGAAGGCGGGGCTATGTAACCTGGAAGGTGTATACATAATTGGAAAGACATGAAACAAAAGTCAAAGTTATAAAAAATACTAGGGGCCTGGCTGGTCTTGGAGTGTTTGGAGTGTATTGAGAACTGATGACAAGGAAAGATAACTAGGTATTAAAGCTGTTATGTCCAGAATTATCTTCAATAAAGGGAAAAAAGTACTGATAGACAGTTTCACTTTTTTTTATAAAATATATTTTATTGATTTTTTACAGAGAGGAAGGGAGAAGGATAGAGAGTTAGAAACATCGATGAGAGAGAAACATCTATCAGCTGCCTCCTGCACATCTCCCACTGGGGATGTGCCCGCAACCAAGGTACATGCCCTTGGCCAGAATCGAACCTGGGACCCTTCAGTCCGCAGGCCAACACTCTATCCACTGAGCCAAACTGGCTAGGGCCTGATAGACAGTTTCAAAGCCTGATAGTTCTTTTTCCCACATGTTAACAGGTTTATAGTTACCATTCCAATAAAAATATCAAAGGACATTGTCACTTAATCCTCACAACAAAATAGTACTGTTAACCCCATCTCACAGAAGGGGAGATTGGTAACTTGGCTCAGCATGTATCATTGGTAACAATACTAGTAACCTGCTAGGAGGTAGGAAAAGTTTGAATCCTACCTATGGTTTTAAAGTCCTGGCTCTTTTTAATCAATAAAACACTACTGCTTCTTTAAAACAAAATCACGTTATGGAAAAAATAAGAAAATACACAACCAATGCTCCTTCCTACCCATTGTATATGATACCATTGTTAATAACTTGGTTAATAACTTTCCAGTCCTAATGGGGAAAGGATGATGAATAGAAGGATAATTCTGGAGCACTTGGAAAGTGCTTGGTGTTTTTTCCTTTTCCTACAGACCATTGGCTTTACCTATTTTCATTTCATTTTTAGACTTGGCAATATATTCAAGGTGTATACAGTGAGAAGGCTCCCTACGCCCAACTCTCAACCACAGTTATCTCCCAAAAGGCAGCCATTGTTAACCAATTATGTAGCCTGATCAAATACACATATTTTTTCCTTTTTTCTTTTAACACAAAATATATACACCTTGCTTTTCTCATTTAATGTCTTTACTATAAGTAAAATGGCACTCCTTTTTTTAAAAAAATGTTTTATACTGTTTATTTGCCGGGATGTTACAGAATTTATGCAGTAAAATTTTGTGCCCCTTCAATGTGCCAGGTACTGCTAGCCTTGGAATACAGAAGTGAACAAAGTATCCTTATGGAGCTTAAATTCTGGAGAGATAAATATCACCTCTAGATTCCCTGACTAAAGGGAATCTTAGTGACTAAAGCTTGAAGGTGGCTGGATGTGATCCTATACAAAAAATACCCTGTTCGTTTTTATTTTGGGTTTTAACATATCTTCAGGAAATCTGGATCCCAGGAAATGAATCCTTTCATTGCCAAGGATAAAAGGACCTGGCTGTAGGGAAAATAGAGGTGAAGGCAGATGGGCCAGTTTTTCTCAGTCATAGTCAGGAGAGCAATCACCAGAGTTCCTGGACTCCTGTGACAAGAATGCACTGCTTCCCTTGCTTATGAATGAATATGCTACGCTTTAATACTGCTTTTTTTCAGAGTACCGGCTTGTTAGACCAGGATTCTGGAAATTAGGGCCCACAGGCTAGATCTGGCTTACACTGTTTTCATACAGCTAATGAGCTAAGATGGTTTTGACATTTTTATGTGGTTGAAAAAAAAAAGGATAATAATACTTAAGGACATGAGAATTATGTGAAATTCAAATGGCAGCATTCACAGGTTTTATAGGAACAGTCATGCTCATTCATTTACCTATTGTCTATAGCTCTTTGCTACGATGACAAGGGTAATTACAATAGACTGTAAATCTCACAAAGCTTAAAATACTCTCTGGCCCTTTATATAAAACTAGAGGCCTGGTGCACAAAAATTTGTGCACTGGCGGGGGGGAAGGGGGGTGGGGGGGTGTCCCTCAGCCCCACTTGTGCCCTCTCACAGTCTGGGACCCCTCGGGAGATAACCACCTGCTGGCTTAGGCCCGCTCCCCAGGTGGCAGATGGCAGGCCTGATCCCTCGGTGCCTGCCCTGCCTCCCCGGGTCGCACACATGGCAGGGCCAATCCGGGGGTTGGGGCGCTGCCCCGGGTCGGGTCGCACACCGGACTCCCCGGGGGGGTTGCACACAGGACACCCGGGCGGGCCGGCGGATTGCTGCTGCCCTGCCTGGCCGCCCTGGGTCGGGTCGCACACGGGATGCCCGGATGGAGGCTGGGCGGGCTGGCTGATTGCTGCTGCACCGCCCGGCCGCCTCAGGTCAGGTCGCACACGGACGCCCGCTGCCCCGGGTCACAGATAGCAGGCCGGGATGGCGGCAGGGCAGGTGGGATGGCATTGTCCCGCCCTGCCTTCAGTATGCAAATTAGCTGCCATCTTTGTTGGTAGTTAATTTGCATATCACGCTGGTTAGCCAATGGGAGGTGCAGCGAAGGTACGGTCAATTACCATGTTTGTCTATTATTAGATAGGACTAGATGCCCGGTGCACAAAATTTGTGCACAGGATGGGGGGTGTCCCTCAGCCCGGCCTGCATACTCTCCAATCCAGGACTCCTTGAGGGATGTCCAACTGCCGGTGGGATCGGGCCTAAACCGGCAGTCAGACATCCCTCTAGCAATCCGGGACCGCTGACTCCTAACCACTCACCTGCCTGCCTGCCTGATCACCCCTAACCACTCTGCATGCATGCCTGATGCCCCTAACTGCTCCCCTGTCTGCCTGATCGCCCCTAACCGCCTCTGCCTGCCGGCTTGATCGCCCCTAATGCCCTCCCCTGCCAGCCAGGTTGCCCTTAATTGCCCTCCCCTGCTGGCCTGGTCGCCCCTAACCACCTCTGCCTCAGCCCCTGCCACCATGGCTT